CTCTACGAGTCTTTCAAAATTCAACATCATAATTCCTCTCCCTACAAGCCTAACATCAACAAAAAATATCAAGAAAATTATCTAGAAGATGGTTGTCACCTACAGAGACTAGCATGAGATGTTACCATTTGCTCTACATGGATATCAGACTTCTATTTGTACATTAATGGGAGCAATGCCTTTCTCTCTAGTGTATGGGATGGAGGTAGTGTTACCCATTGAAGTAGAAATTCCTTCCTTAAGGGTACTCATGGAAGCCAAACTCTCCATGTCAGAGTGGGTTCAGAGTAGACTTGATCAACTGAACCTCATAGAAGAAAAGAGGTTAGACGATATATGTCGTGGGCAAACCTATCAGAAGATGATTAAGAAAACTTTTGATAAGAAAATCCATCCTTAAAACTAACAATAGGGTGATCTTGTACTCAAGAAACTTTTACCTGCTCAAAAAGACAAGATAGGGAAATGGGCACCCAACTACGAAGGTCCATATGTGGTCAAATGGGCTTTCCCTAGTGGAGCACTGATCCTCATTGACATGGATGGCGAAGAGCTTTCTCACCTAGTGAACTCTAACGGGGTGAGGAAATATTATGCCTAAAAGCATTGCTAGCAAAAACCCGCTAGGATGAAAACCCATAAAGGGCATTCTAGGCAAAAGTTAGGATAGAGAAAAAAAAGAGCAAAACTTCCCGCTAGGATACATCCTAGACAAAAATTAGAGATAAAAATATATAAGAAATGAAGGCAGCAACCGATGGTTATTTAGGTTGAAAACCGAAAGATGACTTGGATGTCTTTTCAAGAAGCCAAGGCTTTGTGAAGATTCTACTCAAGATTCATACATGTTGCTTAGGATGGGCAGGAGGATGATTATGCTTGTTCTCCAAGGAAATTTTTTTCTAAAACTTAAACACCAACCTACCTCAGCCACCCGTTTTTCTAAACACCTTTTTGTACTCCTTTCTGTATAAAGCCTTTTGAAATCAATAAAACGTATTTTCTTTTCCCTTCTTTTGTCTTATTATGACGAAGTGTCTCGTTAATGATTGAAAAAAATTGAACAAGTCTAAGAAAATAAAACAAAAGAAAAAAAGAAAGAAAAATGACCCACTACGTTGAAAACCCGTAAAGGACGGCCTGAGCAAAAGTTAGGGTTTCTAAAATAAAAACAAAAGAGAGCCCCAAAAATAGCTTAATGCATTGAAACGGCTAGGATAATTGGTATTGCACATTATTTTACCACGACGGTTTACTTGTAGTAAGGAAAAAAGGGTAGCCATATTCTAAAGAATTGAATCTAGATATGCATTGCATGCATCTAAAGGCACACCACACACTCAGAAAATTTTCTTTATCAAAGAGGAATTATTTAAAAATATGCAAAAAAAAAAAACTAGCATCTTGCATAAATAGAACAAAAATCCCACATTTGTATGTCAACAAAGCAAAACTCGAGAAAAAAAAATGAAAGAAAAAGGCAAAATATAAAAAAAAAGGCTAGCTTCAATACAAAAAAAAAAAGATGAAGCTAAAAATGATAATGAAATAAACTCTAGAAATCCTTAGTGAGGGGCCTCGATTGTAAAGTCAAGCAAAGGGGCAAGAATCATCATAAGCAGAAGACGCACTCCAAGACAAAACCACTACCCGGATAACCAAAGACCCACGAAAGCACAAGAATTTGGCTAAAGAGTAGCCCCCTCACCAAACATTCCAAGCAAGCCCAAATCAAGCCTGAAAAGGCTTTGGCAAATAATACTCATTGCACAAATCAATCTCGGAGAGGCTTCATCTTAAGTAATACTCAAGCTTTGGAAATCTCCAATAGAAGAAACCAAGCTTGGAAAGGCTTCAGTGAAAGAATACTCACACAACAGAATCGCACAATCCCCAGCATATAACCGCCTAGACAAAGGCAAAGACAGTCAAAGCTGAGGGCATCATGACTATCCCCCCATATCACTAGTAGACACCATTTGTCATTTCCTCCCCAATGGACAACTACCTACATAGAGGCAAAATAATCAAAGACGAAAGACATCGTCAACTACTAATTCGCTAGCAACGGTACGAGACCAGACAATGGTGATCACCCTACAAAGCGGATGATCTTTCGCCCCTCAACATAAGGGCACTTTCGACAAGCAGTACTTAAACTCACGACTTAGGCCGGTTGGAAGCCTTAATACCAATCCAGCCTAGAGAGGCTAAACTTAGAATATACTCAAATCATCGACCTGGAGAGGTTGCAAGTAGTACTTAAACCCACAACTTAGGTCGGATGGAAGCCTTAATACCAGTCCAGTCTAGAGAGACCGAGTTCAAAACATACTCAAATCATCAACTTGGAGTGGTTGCAAGCAGTACTCAAACCCACAACTTAGGTCGACTAGAAGCCTTAATACTAGTCCAACATGGAGAGATTGAGCTTAGAATATACTCAAATTATTGACTTGGAGAGGTTGCAAGCAATGCTCAAATCCACAACTTAGGCCGACTAAAAGTCTTAATACCAATCTAACCTGGAGTGGCTGAGCTTAGAACATATTCGTTCCTTAGCAAACCTGAAGAATCCCTACAAAAATGAATCCATAAGATGAACTCACCAGCCAAACCTATAGAAAGATAGCGAAGGATGTTTACACTTCACTCATGAAGATAAAAAGACGAAGACCCGAGCAAAACGTCTACGTCTTTACTTGTCTTTGTAAAACGCAATCACAACATCTTGCTACCCAAAAGACAAGTAAAGAAAAGCAACTATAGACACCAGTTTTCATTAGAGCTGTCAAAGTGGGCTTCAGCCCGTGGGTCAACCCGGCCCACCTTGAAAACGGGTCGGGCCGGGCCAAAAAAATGAAAAAATTTATGATGGGTCAAAAAATGTAACCCGACCCACTTTCGACTCGGCCCACCCGGGTTGAACCCGTGGTGGGCCGGGCGGCCCACCTGACCCACTTACCAACCCATCCCCTAAACCCACTAACAACTCACTTAACTATTTATTATTATATATGCATTATTTTAATAAGATATCATTTTTTTTATAGATAAAGATAAAATCAATGTTAAACAATATGAAATTACTATAAATTTATCTATCCAAACCTCTAATAAAATTTAATATTGATGAATAATCACTCTCATGAAAGATTTTTTATTTTTTGTTTTAATTTTTAAAGTTGCACACTTATTAATTTAATTTTAATGTTGTGTCCATGATACTTAGTTTAATAATTTTTAGTTTAGATTAAATATTATTTTATATTGAAATTTATTTTAAATTATAATTTTTTTAAAAAAATCAGGTGGGTTGGTGGGCGGCCCGTTTAGCCCACCAACTTGTGGTGGGCCGGGCCGGGCTAGAAAAATTTGCATAATATATTTGGTGGGCCGGGCCGGGTTGGCCCACTTAAAAAGTGGGTTGAGGTGGGCCGGGCCAAACGGGCCGGACTGACCCGTTTTGACAGCTCTAGTTTTCATCTGGGACATTCCCACTAAGGCTAAAAGACCACTAAAACAAGAAGAGCAGCCCTTGAAGGCCCAAAAAGGCATGGACATAGACCAAGATGAAGCCTAAAAGGCTTAGAAGACACTATTTCACAAAAACCCTAATCTAGGGGTGTAGAACGATTGTTCCAAACATCGGAACAATCGTTCCAACTAAAAATTTGCACATAAACCCTAGTTAGGAACGACCGTTCCCAACTAATTAATTGAGTGTTTCCTTGAGGCACGAAATGCTCGTTCCAAAGTTGGAAACGACCGTTTCCCTTCCCCAAGTGCCTATATAAGCGTGCCCATGGTTCATTCTTCGACACACCTGTCAGATTTGACTTCCCCTTCACTTTGTGAATTTCTGAGTGATAGTAAGGGTTTTGTAGAGTGAAAGATTGTCAAAATGTGCTCTTGTACGTAATTTTGAGGATTTTTCTATAAAAACTTACTTTGTAGGTTTTTAATTCTCTTCTCCCGTTTCTCTTTTACTTGCTCTTATAACCCTATTCCCATGCAATGAATTAAAAATATCATGTAGATAATAAGTGTTTAAAGAGCTAGGGTTTAGGCTTTAGTTACAACCCTATTTGCATGCAATTAATGATTATTATGTTTGTCATATTTTGTAAATTAACGTAAATCATTGTATGATCAATAAAATAAAAGGGATAAAGATTTAATTATAATTGTTATTATGCTAAATTTATCACAGGGTTCCGAGTTAGAGTGTTGTGGGGTGCCTAATACATTCCCCACACATAACCGACACCTGAACCTGGTTTTGACTATGAAGGCTATTATTAATTTTTCAAAACTCTTTTCTTTTTATGATGTTTTGAGTAAAATATCGATGACAACTCGTTCAAACTTTTTTCTATTTAAAACATAACATATAACATTACATAACTTTCTTCACAAAGAATATCGTTATGATGAATTTTTAATTAAATTAGTGGATAAATCTTCATCTTCAATGTTATTAGTTAATAAATGTCATAATTTTAAACATATTATTCAGACTTAAGTGCACGAAAGAAAACATATCAATACATGAAAGAATAATATAACTTTAAATATGTAAAAAATGTTAGTTAAAAAAATATTAAAGTCAATTATTTATAAAAAGATAGAGACAATTATTTGTAAAAATATAAAAAAAAATAATATTAATTTTAATTTTCTTTATTAATTATGTTATATGTATTTTTTATTAAATTTTATAGTATTACAAATTTATTTTTTGTTGTAAAACTTATAAAACCGTTTAAAATCTTATAATATAAATCTATCAAAATCTGAATTATAAAATTTTGATTAAACTTTAAATTTTAAAAATTATTAAAATAAATATAAAAGATTATAAATGATTGAATCTAAGTTCTCATGCTTCTAACTACCCTAACCCCAGCTCACCCATCCACTAAAAATCATTATATTCTTACGCAACCTTTTAAAATTTACAATATTTTTTTTTGTTAAAATAGTCTCGAAATTCAATACAATATAACGCCTAAAATTGATGGCTTACACTTGAAGTGAGAGTCCATTAAAAAGCCCAAGAAGCAGCAAAAGCTAAAAAGTCCAGTGAATGAAACACGTTCCTCGTGTTGATGCTGCTCCCTCCCACCTTCGATCCTTCTCAATTCATCCAATCTCATTTCTCTCACATTCATCCCCTTTTCCCCTTCCCAGTCCCATAATCACCCTTCCTTCACTTCAATCCCAAACAAAACCACCATCACTCCCATCCCAACAAAAGCACAAACCTTTCCAAAACACAAACAAAAAAGAAAAAGAAAAAAATGACAACAACAACATCAACAACGTTAGCGTCATTGCAAAGCCACGCTCTGTTCCCCTTCTTCCTCATGTTCCTGGCCATCTACCTCCTGGGCTACCTCGTACTCTTCCGAAGATCCGACCCGAAGATCCGACCCGAATTCTCGAGCTGCCTGATCTCGCTCGCCCACGGCACCCCCGCCGCGCTCCTGGGCGCCGCAGCCATCCTGAGCGACGAGCGGCCGGGGTTCGCGGCGGCCAACACGGCCTTCCAGAAGCTGGTCCTGGACTACAGCGCCGCCTACTTCCTGACGGATCTGATCCACTACGTGGCGTTCTACCCTAACGACGTGCTCTTCATCGCGCACCACCTCGCCACGCTCTTCGTCGTCCTCACCTGCCGCCACGCCGTCTCCCACGGCGCCTTCTCCGTCCTCGTCCTCCTCGTCCTCGCCGAAACCACCAGCGCCTGCCAGAACGTCTGGACCCTCGCCGGCGCGCGCCGCCTCCACGACCCACGCGCCGCCTCCCTCTACCACGCGCTCTCGCCTCCCTTTTACGCGCTCTATTCCCTCATTAGGGGCTTCGTTGGGCCCTACTTTATGTACCGTATGGTCGCTTTCTACGCGCGTGGGGGCGCGCGTGGGCTTGTGCCCGCTTGGGTTTGGGTTTCGTGGGTCTTGGTTGTTGTTTTGGCTATTGGGGTTAGCATTTTGTGGATTTTTAATCTTTGGGTTCAGTTCTTTAGGGAAAGGAAGGGGAAATTGGAGGAGAAAATTCGATAGGCCTTAATTTAATTTAATTAATTAACATTGTTTTCTCTCTCTCTCTCTATAAACATTATTATTCTAAAACTGGAAATTTTTGGGTCTTTGATTTTGTTTTTTTTTTGTTTGTGTTTATTTGGGTTTTATTTACATATGTGGTTTTAGCTAAATTAATGTTTCTCTTTTTGGATTTTGGGGGAAATTGATTCATTAATTGGTGTGATTTTCTTGGTTCTTGGCATGGGATGTTTTGCTATGATGAGTTGAATTCAGTGATGAAATTTAAACTTTTGTTGAAGTTTTGGTATCGTTTAGCATTTTTGTGTACTATTTGTGGAGTGGGATTTTCCACATTACGTATTGCAGGTGTAAAGACGTGAGGATAAAGAAGAGGTTTTTCAGTTTTTCTTCCCTCATGACTTGAAACTCAACCTTTGGTTTTGTTTTTTTATTAGTGATGGGGACATACAATTTTTTTTTTTTTGTGTGGGACAATCTCTAGTTGTTAACTCTGTTTCGCCGAAGTAACTCTTGTGACGATTTTTCCGATGCATTAAGTGGGTTCTTATTTTTATAAATCTTATCATATAATAATCTATTACCCAATTATTTTATGAGTTAATTATCTATAATGTAAAAAAAATTTTATACTGATAATTAATTATATTTTTTAATTGTGTCATGTCACTATAAATATATTTATTTTTAACAGTGACATGACACAATTAAAAGATATAATTGGTTGTCAGTGTAAATAAATTTTACACTGACAGTGTATAGATGATTAACTTTATTTTATAATAGTCATTTAATACTGTTTTACACAAATTAAGATATATAATAATTTTTTAATTTTTTATACAGTGATTTTAATTTTAATATTATTTTTTATCTTATTTTTGTTTCATAATAAATGCATATTAATTGTACTGTGTAAATTAGTTAAAAATTAGGCTTAATTACGTTTTCGATTGCTCAAGTATTACAATTATGTAATTTTGATCCCCAAAGTTTTAATTAGGTAATTTTAGTCTCTAAAAGATTGTAATTGTGCGATTTTGGTCCTTCAATTTTTAATTGAACAATTTTAGTCCCTTAAATATCATAATTATGCGATTTTAGTCTCTCTCATTAAAAATTTAATAATTTTAATATATATATATATACAATATTTCAAAATTATACAATTATTTGTTTATTCAAGTTAACACATATTATAATTTTCTTCCATGTATCAAATGATATATATTTATTTATATATTTATATACTTTTACAAAAATATATGTATATTAATTAGAAATATACATGTCTTTTCTTATATATTTATATTTTTGTTAAAATATATTAATATATACTAAGTCATATTTATCAAATTATTAGTTTATCTATAAATATACTAAAGATATTATTAATATTAATTTATTAATAATATTAAAATACTAATAATATATAAATTTTATTTATTTAGCAATAATAAATATATATCATTTGATATAATAACAAAAATTATAATATACGTTAACTTACATAAGCAAACAATTGTATAATTTTAAAACATTATATATATATATATACACATATATATATAATTTCTAAAATTACTAAATTTTTAATGAAAAGGATTAAAATTGCACAATTGTAATAGTTGAGGGACTAAAACTGCTCAATTAAAAATTAAGGTACTAAAATCACACAATTACAACCTTTTAAGGACTAAAATTACTCAATTAAAACCTTGAGGATCAAAATTGCACAATGGTAATACTTGAAAGATCAAAAACATAATTAAATATAAAAATTATGTAAGATATAAAGTTATAATTGATAAAATAATATTTAATATTGTTTTAAAATTTAACAATGATAAATAAATAGAAATAAAATTTTACAAAAAAGTTCGAAGAGGAATAGATGGAGTATCAAATTTAAGAGTTTCAATAAAATTTTACTTTAATAATAAAAAGTTGTCAATAGAGTTTCTAACTTATATTTGGTGATTAGTACATATCATGTAGATTAATTGCTATGAAATTGCTTTAACTTAATTAATAATTTTGAATTCTTAGTATGTATGTAATTGTGTTAAATACTTGGATAGACAATTTTGTCACTTATAGCAATTTTAGTTGACTTGAATAGAATTGTTAATAATAAAATATAATTTATGGTTTATATTAAAAAAAAACTTCTTTTTAAAGTTTGAGTTTAATGGTGATTCCTTATGTAAAAAGTTTCACACAATTAATTAATCAGAAATTATAATTTGTACAAATTTTTAGATAATAATAAAAATCAATACATTTATCATTTATAGTGAATTATGATTAAGTGACCGTATAAAATTATTTTATACCATAAATAATCACTCTTAAAGTTTTTACAATTAATCATATTTTTTTAAATTTTTATTCAAATTTTCATTTTACTTAATTTATTTGTATTAAAATTTTGAACAATAAGTATACAAGAAATTTAAAAAATTATTAATCACACTTATCAATATAAGTAGTTATTTTAGCTTATTTTATCAATCTTATAAAATAAAATCATGATATATCAATTGTTATCAAATTATTTTTTCATTATTTGACAACGAGAAACACATTTTTATAATCTTTAATAAAAATAAGAAATAAAAAATATTAAAATAAGAAATATAATATATTTTTTTATTTTTTAAACAGTGATTTTAATGTTTTCTATTATTTTTTTCTTATTATTTTTTTATAATAAATGTATATTAGTTGTAATGTGTAAATTAGTTGAAAATTATGTAAGATATAAAGGTATAATTGATAATATGATATTTAATATTGTTTAGAAATTTGAAAAAGATATAAAAAGAAATAAAATTTTACAAAAAAATTCGACAAATAAAGAGGAACAGATGTGTAACTTCTTCCAATCAGGATTGTTCCTATAAAAGTAAAGTGGTAACTTTAACTTCCAAATGTGACTTCATATGTAACACAGGAATTAAACTTTAGCCCCTTATTAAGAAGAATAAATATTAAACTATTTGAGTTAATTATTGTTGGTACTTAATGGTACAAATACACGACCAATAAATTTTTTTTATCCGTAACCTCTTAGTTCACGTCTAGTTAGATTCATACGGACAACTAATTACTCATATAATACACTTATTTTAATGTAAAATCTGCTATTGAAATTAATTTATATATATATATATATATAATCAGGTTAAAATTTTAAAATATTAATTTTATTAATATATGATTTGGTATAAATGAAAAAGTGATAATTAATACACTTATTTTAAAACTATTTTTTTCTTTAAATGCAACACCTGAGACTAATATTTCAATTTTTTTTTATAAAAATCAATATATTATAATTTTATTTTATAAGATCGATAAAATAAGATAAAATAACTATTTATATTGATATGTGTGATTAATATTTTTAAAATTTCTTATGTATTTATTGTTCAAAAGTTTAATATAATTAAATTAAGTAAAATGAAAATTTAAATAAAAATATAAAGAAATATGGTTAATTATAAAAACTTCTTTTCTTATTAAAAAAAAAGAAAATTATACATGATCTATTATGATATCATTTGATTAGAATCTATTATGTATATAGATTTTTTCTTTTCCAATAATTATTTTAAAATTCACAACAGTAATAACTTTTTATTGATTGACTTGAAAGCATAAAAAGATTTCACTCACGATATCCTAAATTTTAATTACTAAAACCACTTTCGGGAAATTTTGAGCTAAAATAAAAAAATTAAAACATTTTGCATTAACTTTATATGTAAATGCCGATAGAACAAAAAAAATGCCCATGATATTGATGAATGGTGATAATATAATAATATTTTTATCTATCAAATACTTCTTTAAATATATAAAATAAATAAATAAATAAATATATATATATATATATATATATATAAAATTCTTATAAAAACACAATTCTAAGGTTATTTATAAATAAAGTTTTCTCACATGAGGTTTGGGTTTAAATGTGATTAATTATTTGGTGAATTCAAGAGTTAATTATCTAATAGGTGATGCATCAACCGATAGAATACTATAATATATTGTTAGATATATTTATTGTTAGCTTGATTTCCTAGTTTTCCTTGAAGATTTTGGTACAATGGAGTTGATTTGGATTTTGTTGAAGGTTGTTATGGGTTACATAATTAAGGTTGGGGTTTGATGGTTTATGACTAGTGATTAAAGTATATTAATAAGAGTTTGTTTGGACATAAGTTAGAATCCTTTTTAGAGTTTCTTCATTGAAATTAAAGAATAGTTTTTAGTAGAAAAACTTTCAAAAATCTTTCTAAACTTATACTAAACAAATTCTAAATTTATTAAACACCCCATATCATAAATCTTCATCCTTATCAAATCAAGTGTTTGTTTTCCAAGTTTATCATAACTTTATTTATTATAAAAATTTACCATAACTTAATCTCTTGTAGTATCAAACTTGTTTTCTTTATATTAGTATAAAAAAGTATATTTATGTTAATTTGTTTAAAAATATAAATAAAATTAAAGATAACACATCATAACTTTCTTGTAGTATCAAACTTGTTTTCTTTATATTAGTATAAAAAATCATATTTATGTTAATTTATTTAAAAATATAAATAAAATTAAAGATAACACATCATAACTTTTTTTTAGAGGTGATAAGGCATCTATTAAAAGTGATGTTAAATTGAATAACAAATAAGTCTGACTTGAACTTTATGTAAGCAAGTATGGATAATCCACGAACTCAAACGAACTCTATGAGTTAGTTCAAATATTTTAAAAGTCTGGGTTACACCTAACCCAATCAAAACCAATCACTATATTGGTTGGGTAATGAATTGTGTGTTTTTGACCCATGACTCAACTTGACATGTGACATCCTCCACCCACATAACATAATATTTGAAATAAATAAAACTAAATCAAGAAGTTTATCATAATAAAAATTCATCGTGTTCAACACATATATAGTATTATATTTTAACAAAACAAAATCAACTAATATCCAAATGAAATCTAATACATTAAAATAATCATTGTCCAAAGACCATAACTAAAGAAACACTAACTCTAACTAAGTCTCGATGTCACATCCTATTACAACATAAATCCAACTGCAATGACTAGGCCTCACCAACAACATCCTCAACCTTGTAATGTAAATCACCTACAAGAACATATAGTTTAGACAAATACAAAACAATGGGAGTGAGAAATATCTCACTATGGCTCACAGCGTAGAATATAGTCATATAGTCAAACACAAG